TGTAACACTGGTGCTGTTCTTTTAATTTGACATGTTATAAGTTTGTAAAAATAGGATTTTACCAACAAGTGTTAATATATATATATATATATATATATATAAAATGTATGTGTGAGCATGAAAGCATGAGCATCTGCTTCATGGTCATTCTCTCCTCTGCCATGTTGTGTTTTTGATCTCAGAAGGTGAGAAGATTGTTGATGAAGTAAGCTTAAGTGAAGATAGGTCAATGGCAAAGATCTGCACAAAAAGAATTCTTTAGAATAAAGACTTAGCCTGGGTTAAAAATGTAACAATGATTTGTTATTTTTATGGGATTTGTTGTATACAGTGGTTTTAACCCTCTCCACTTCTATTAATATCAAATGACACTGGATCCCCTTTTGGAGTTTACAGCCTGTTTTAGTAGTATTTTAAATTTCTAAGTTCCAGTCTTCAGGGTTGGCACAAGGTCTTGGTCAGGAGGTCTCGATGAATGATGTGGATTTCAGTAGCAATAATGTGGGAACTCACTAAGTTGTTAAAACCTCCAGCTGAAATGGAATCCTGTCTCTAGCAGATGTGGAGTTGAACAGGGTCTGGAGGTTAGTAATCTCCCACCATTAACATCAAGCTTTTTCTAAAATCCAGTATTTTCAAAATGTTTACTAGAGTAATTTTCCAAGTTTAGGAGTTATTCAGCCCCCTTTTGACAGTCGTCAGAGGAATTGAGCGTCCTCTTAACTCCAACTTCCTTGACTTCTCATTTCACACCATTGCTCTATATAGGCACTGCTAATATATCTCTCTCTCCCTTCTCCCAACTTCTCAGCATCCAACCTCAACACCTTTCCAGAGACTGGTACAACTGTCTTCGTCATGAATCCAAACTTTTAGAATGCATAAGCAAAAAGGGGACTTCCAGTAATTAATCTTTCTTTATCAGCTTATCTCATGCTGGTTGTTTTAGGTGATTTCCCAAAGCCAGGAACTTGACTGAATCTAATATAATTGGAGCCAAACCAGATGGCCCCCTGCCAACCAATCTCAAGAATTATTTGTTCATCCAGTCATCATGGGTAGAAAAGAAAAATACTCCCAGCATCTTTAATAATAATAAAAAAATTATCTTTCTCTCTTTATGTGTTTCTCAGTCAACAAATCCACACAGCCTGTTGTCTATGGTCACTCCAGGCTGGCAATTAATCTTTCATTATCAGCTTGTCACCGAAAAAATCCAAAATAATGTCCTGGTTATAAAAATTTTAACGAATGTCACAGAAATTAAAATAAACCAACCTGTCCCCAATCTTAGGCTAATCTTTATTTTTGTAACAATATTTTTCTCCAGGGTGGCCAACACAAACCAGATGTTTTTCCTGGCTCTTTGTCCAGAACAATTTAGATGTTATTTCAGTGACCACTTGTTTTCTTTACCGACATAATTTTCTATTTTCCAGGACCCGCCATCTTCAATGATACATTAATTGTCTCTTTCTTATTGGTGAGAAGTGGGGAAGGACTAGTTTTGCTCAATCTTCTGTCTAGTTAAATTTGCTTTCAATTCTCCTTGGAACTCTTCTAGATTTCATTTTATTATTTTAAAACAGTTTTTAACACATTTTGTTCATAATTATCTTCTCAACTTTTCCATCCACTTTCTTGAGAATTTCAACAATTATCATCCAGTTAGTAGTCTCTTTCCTCTTCTTTTTCCTTCGTCTGATTAACTCCCTGAGGTCTCCGTGTCACAGGGGCATTACATGTACTACAGTTGTAGCAACAGTTGTATGTCTTGAGCAAGATACCCTGACAGAACCTACCACTTTTCAGACTGGTTTTGAATTCATCACTTACCTTCTCCTCTTGGTTGCCACCTCAGGCAAGAGAGTCCTCTTTGCTCTGGTACTTAACCCATTATATATATATATATATATATATATATATATATATATATATACACATTATGTGTGTGTGTGTGTGTGAGAAAGAGCGTTGGTGTAGACATATGACTAAACACTGCATGGTGACTATCACTTCCATACTTCAATCAATCTTCAGGCCATAGATATTTATTTTTGAATTGTTAGTGAAGTAAATATAAGTAGAATTTTTTATTGTCATGTCCCATCAGGATATAGAAAAACATTGCTCTCCACAGTTTCCTTTATCAACAGTGAATTGCAATGACTTCTTGAGAAGGATAGTGCAATGGTTTCCCATTGCTTTCTTCAGTTTTTCACAAATTCCTTTATTATCTGCAAATTGCCATGACTTCTTTTACCTTCTTTGCCAGTTGAAACTTGAGTTGCCTTGGGTTTTATTATTTTTACATTTCAGTTATCTTATGTTTATCTATAATATATATATATATATATATATATATATATATATATATATATATATATATATATATATATATCAATGAGAGAGTCAGTGTGGACATAAGAACCAGCACTGCATGGAGACTGTCAATTCCATCCCTCAATCAATTTTCAGGCCATAGATATCTTTGTAATAAATAAAAAAATGTGACACAAAGACTAGCTAAAATGGTGATGGGAATGTTTTTTTATTATGCTGTTGTTTAATCAATCTAGTCACAATCACTTGCTCATTTGTTCCTCTGACCAGAACTTTATATTTGCACTTCTAAATTTCTTAATGAAGTCCAAACTAGTCCCCTATATGTAGTTTTGTGGGTGTTGCAGATATATATATATATATATATATAATTTAGAAATGGTCCTAAACTTCTGACCATAAGTCACTATTCTTTCAGTATGTTCTATATATAGGGCACTGAAGGATTAAGGAAAGTGGGAGACTGAAGAGATGAGACTTCTACATCTTTAAAAAAATTTTTTTTGTTAGGGCAAATGCATTAAGTTATTTATTGTCATGGCATTTAATTTCCTTATTTTATAAATTCCACTTACTTGTTTTGGTTATAGGATTTTATTTAGTCTTTTTGGTCATGATGAGTATAGTAGGAATTTTTTTTCATGAGCTCTGATATTTTGTTTATGAGTTTTTGTCTATTTTTGGAAAAGTGATTATCTCTATTTTCTCTTACACACACACACACACACACACACACACACACACATATATATATATATATATATATATATATATATATATAGTTGGTGCTGAAAACTTCTTGGTCCAACTAAGAATCTTACACTAAAAAAATGTTTCATCAGATTTGGGGAAGTGGGTTGGCTTAAAAACTTTTCACCACCCTCTCATACAGTGCACGATGGGTTAATTGTCTCCATTTTATATTTTTAATTTTATGCATGCACACTGTTTATTTTTGATTTTGTCAACTGCACAGTATAGTAGGGTCAGTTGGGCATTGTCCATGACAAAAAGAGCACCATGATACAATTCACTCCACCAGAAATTTGGAAATGGTATGCTGTATTGCTTGGCATTCATGCCAGAAGCTCCAATACAAACATTTTGGAGTGTTTGGGTGTCAATCTAGGGACAGTGCAGAAGATTTGGAAAGAGTTGGATAATATTTTCAATCAACATCATGGTGTTTGGAGTATTCACTTGTGATGATGACATTATGCCTCCATTCATATTCTCATGTAGATGATGCTATTATATTTGTGTTGACAACACAAATATAATAGCATCATCTACATGCGAAAAATGTCTAAAAATAATGGAAGCCTTATTAATAAAAACAAAAAACCAACACTCAATAATATCAACTATGAATATAGACACAATATCTTCATGTTTTTGAAAATGAAAACATCATATAAATACATATATACATCAATCTATTTCTTGTTAACAGTTAATACATTTCAGCCTTGAAATTGTATAAAAACTAAATCAAAGCACCTTGTCTGTTGTATTCAATGAAAGAATGATTGCTGCCTATAATACACAAATATATATATATATATATATATATATATATATATATATATATATATATGACTGATACGTGTTGTTGCATGTTACTGATATGTCTTTCTGCATTTTGACTTCCCAGATTCAAGGAAAAAAGTATCATAACACAAAATGAGTGATGTAAAACACTTTTGATTTTCATTCCTTTAATCTTTAGCACAATCCTTTATATTCATTGCATAAATGTGATAATAACTCTTGGAGTATAAGACCAATAAATCAGCAATACGCATTGAGAAAATTATATATATATATATATATATATATATGGTGGATCTCTTGTTGTAGATGACAAATATGGCCTCATTAAAATAAAGAGGTGCTCAACTTTTATGCACACGCATGTGTTTCTCAAGGCCTGTAGGTACTTTGCAAACTTTTAGAGAGATGGAACGTATGGTTGAGGATCAATTGCCACATGTTTCCACCAGTGGACAGCAAAACTTGCTTTACTGCATATCACAAAGCCACAGTGGCAGGTAAGGCTATCATTGAGATGAGCAGCATGTTGTCAACTTTCTTTAATGTCTGTACACAGTTGGTCCAGATGTTCAAGTCAGCCTCACTGAAACCTTTAGATAGATGACAAGTACACCAGCTTCTTTGCTCTGTCACTTTATTTTCCAAGGAAGATATATACACTGTAATCCTGTGTGCAAAAGTTTGCTGCATGTTATGCCTTACTTTACAACTCGATCCCATTTTTTCTAGGACTTAAAATGGACAAAATTGCATCAAATTGGATTTATTTGTTTACCATAGAGATATCTATCAATTTAATGGTGTATTGCAACAAACGGGAAATAAATCTTTCATAATGTTTCTCTAAGTCACGCACTTATACACAGATGTATATAAAGTTGTCATGTTTTGACAGAACAGGTAAACTAGATTACTGGAATCATTTTAATGTCATAATGATAAAATACATAAATGTACAGTGCCTATATTATTTTCCTTATTAATATATGTATATCTGTATTCTTTCTTTCTTTTTTTTCCTTTCAGCTCAGGATTGCCTTGCCTGTATGCAGGATGGATCGGAAATGGTTAAAGTACGTTCCAACAGCCGACAATATTTTCGGATGTATTCCCTCAGCAAAGACATGACAGAAATCCGGTGGCAGCCAACTTCAAAGAAACCAAACAAAGCAAAAAGTAATTTACTATTTACATTCTTTTTTTTTATTTTTGATATTTGATTTCAGGTTTGTTGTAGCAATATATTAAGCTTTTAAATATTGAAGATTCTCAGTTAAATTTGTTTCTAACAATATCAGAATTCTATTTTTTAAACATTCTATGTTGTTGATTTTTGTACAAGGTAAAAACAAAGTGCTACCAAATTTTGTATATTTAAATAAGGAATATTAAACAATTTAATATAAATTTAATGTTTTACTTCATTATCTTCATCAGAAATTTTAGAAGTGTTTAAATTTTGAGTTTTTATTTTCTATATTTTTTTTTCTTCAAATTCTATATTTTGTTTTCATTGGTTGTGTAGATATCACATGTATACATCATGGTATCTTATGTTCAAATTCTCACATGCTGTATCCATTGTATTCTCATTATTCTTCTGTAGAACAATTACTATTTCCATGGACAGTGTTTAGATGAACTACATTCCTTAGTTCCACCAGTTCTAACCTTCATGGCTAACACACACCATACCATATACTTTGTAACAAATCACCCTCATTGCCTTCATATTGCATTGCCAAGATATGAGTTCTATTTAAGCAGCTTCTCCTCACAAACTGCTGCTTTGTGAAAAAAAACACCCAAGAGGATGCTTCCCCAATCAATACAAACTTAACCTGTTCAAATCTAGGGCTATCTTCCCCACATATCTCCATAAACTGTGTCTCTGTAACCCTCTACCTCAAGTGACTCTTGGTCTTTGTAATTGAATAACCTGTCACCCCCATGAGTGACTACATTATAGGTAGTAACTACCTATAAATATCTGTAAGTCAATGGACTACAGAAACTAGTTGGGATCTGTTAAGTATGACTCAGACTTATGCAAGAACTACCTACCTTCCAATAGTAGCACTCACTACTGGATTGACTTATGACGACCTTGTGCATAACTGTTACCTTTATTCTTATTGTATTGGTTTGTTACAATAAACCTTTACTTATTTTACCCACCCTCTTTTTCAAGTACATATTCCTATTAGCATGGAATATAACTGTCTTATACAAGTGGAAAGATAAAGAAAAAATATGAATGTCGTGTTATGTTTTTTTCTGTGGGACCCTATCTCTGTTGCCTCTTAGTAACAAAGAAATAATATAAGCATTATATAATACTGCATAAAGAGAAAAAGAAATTCTCACTGATGACAAATATACTTTTCAAAGATAAAAATCTCTGTTTCTATGCATTGGACACAAATTTCATATTCAGAATTTTCTCCAATTATTCTTCATATGAAAAGCACAAAGTTTATTGCAATAAAATTAGCATTAAAAGTTTCATGATTTTTATTGACAAATGTTGCCTTGGTGTCAAAAATGTGTAATGTCACTGATTGATGGTCTTAATAGGTTAAAAGCTGACAGATACACAAATACAAAATTTGGTTACAGACTTATTTACAGAATATTGCTATTAGACAACTGTTGAAAGAAGAGATAAGGCAAGAAGTCCTTGGTATACATGCAAAGCAATCACACAGCCATTCCCAAGAAGTCTTCTCACCATTAATATACATCTACATGGTTGTCTCACATTAAAAATGCAGAGACTAGTCCATGTAAAACATTAATTCCTGACCACTGACAATACAGGATAAATGGAGAAATTGATGCCATTTTATATTTTTCATTTTGTGCATGCACATTGTTTTTTTTTATTTTGTCAACTGCACAGTATAGTAAGGTCAGTTGCACACCATCTGTGAGAAAAATAGCAGCATGACACAATTCATTCTGCCAGAAATTTAGAAAACAGCATTCTGTACTGCTTGGCATTCATGCCAGAATCTCCAATACAGACATTTCAGAGGGTTTGGGTATCAATCTGAGGACAGTGCAGGCAGCTCAGAAAACTCACTAATCATTCTGGTAAGAAAAGGACTCTCAAATTTGTTGGCAAGGGCCTCTGACTCAACACAGAAGCCTACATCTAGTGGCTTGAGATGGTAGTGCTGCCCTGGGAGAAATGGGTAGCTGCTGGAAGACTCTGTCTGGCAACAGGACTCTGCACCATGCCACACAAGCAGGAGAACCCAATCATGGCTGTCAGACAATTTCTGCAGCCACATCACCCTTTACATCTGGCCACCTAACTCCCCAGACTGCAACCCCCTTGATTATTATGTGTGGGGTACAGTTGAGTGAGAGACCAAAAAAACTCCTTGTAATACCAAAGATGAACTGAAAGCAAGGATTAAAGAGACTATCCAGAAGAGTTGACAGAGATTCTAAAGTCTGGAGATTCTGGTTGAAACCAATGGCGATTTTATTGAATAAATTTATGCTCTAGTATTTTTGTGTAATTCTGGTAAATATATCTGTTAAAATTAGATGTCAGCGTTATTTTAATTTTTGCATAATTTAAGTGACAATTTATTTATTGCACACTGTCATTCATAATTTGTTGAAACTATTGCTCTTTGTTGTCTTACTCAAACTATATTTGGAATTATAATGACTCATTTCAAAATTACAGGAAGTATCTATATAGACTATCTGCAGGACTTGGCACAGACAAATTTTAGGACAAAAATTGCTTAACATTGTATTGAATTATACCAAAATTAGTACAGAAACTGGAAGAAAATAAGATGCATAATGATGGAGTAATATTAAACACTGTGGGCATTAACATATTCTTCAGTCTTTATGCATCTTCTATGTGCTGTGTCCCTTCAGGACACCGACAATCATGACACTCCACAACTTCTTGTCCTTTTTACTTTTAATAATTTTTTTTTTGTTATTTCTCTTAAACACTGTACTGCCATTCATTTACTCAAGCTAAGTAGGTTATGCATTGTTTTCCTCTGTCCCTCTATATGTCCTGTGAGTATTAAATATTTCAAGCTCTCTTTCCTCAAGTGCCCTAGAAATTTTAACTATCCCTTCTTGATATTAATTATAAGTATCCTATTTGTTTCCATTTTCTCTAAGACTTCATCATTGCTCACATATCCTTAGCATTCTTGTGTAGAACGACATTTCTGTTGCTTCAAGTCTCTTCTTCATCTGAGATTGTCCAGCATTCACTGACATGTACGTGGACTGATATTACATAACAGTTCAGTACACTTTTATTTCTAACAAATTTTTTTCTGTTTATCAAATTAAACACAGATTTCAAAAATGAGTAGGGTATCTTTTTTTGTTTTTCCTACCATTAAAATTTGTCATATCCCTACATATGTAATCATGAGAGTGAACAACAGTTTTGGTATATTTGTATCCTTCAAACCTTGTAGACTGGCACTACAGAATCACAAACAAAGAACTGGACCAAATAACAGAAACCACATCACTTGAGGGTTTTCAACAAGAGCAACAGCTAAAATGGATATCATATATAACTCAGAGAAAATAATGATTTAATGAAGATGTTGACATTCCACACTACTTCAAATAAAAGCTTAGGAAGGAATCTCCCATTAATACTGGAAAGAGTGATAACTACTACTGAACTTGTGAAACCTGTTTTTCTGAAAATTAATGAAAAGAAATAAATTTCAACTGAAAGCAGCACTGGCTGCATGGTCAATAAATGCTGATTGTTTCCTTATAAGGAAATGGCTGATATTACCATTACAATTAATAAATTCTACCCAGGATATCACAGTTTACATAAACAGTGAGTTCAGATTATATAAGGCTACTTGTCGTAATATAGTTTTTTTGCAATTAATTTATGTATATTCTTTTAGCATTTGCTATGTCATTAGAGTGAATGACAGTACTGAATAAATTTTATTCTTGATATTGTATCTACAGCCAGTTCAAATTATGAAAGGCTATGTTTTCATTCTAATATTTTTCATAATTAAAATACATTGCAATTAATTTCTATCTATGCTTTGTTTATTGTTAGTTATATATATATAATGGCTAGCATGAATGAACATTTTTATATATTTAATAAACTTTAGCCACAATATCATAAGTTACATAAATTAAGTTAAAAGAAAGAAAAATATAAAAATGATTCCATGATTCCATTTCCTTTCATGAAGTATTTAAATTCAATAAGCTTTCAAAAACAAAACAAGTGGGATTAAAAGACAAAGCCATGAATGTAGTTTTGAATTAGGTAAACCATCAAAATATTAATGAAAAGACCATGTAGGCCATTTGCATTCTGAACTTTTTCAGAAAACAATCACATTGTTTTATAAAAATGGGTGTAACTAAGACGTTCACTCAAGAGATTTTTGTCTGAATGTTAATATATTAGTTAAATAGTGTCTATTAAGCTATTAATGCCTGTTGTGAAACCTGGTATTATTAAAATAAAAATGCAGTAGTATAGGTTTCTAAAAAAATTCAATATTAATTATAAAGTTTTTTAAAATATCCAACATTAATTAAGGATTAAAATAAAAATTTAATATTTAATTACAAGGAATAAATAAAAATCCAACATCTAATTGTAAAGATTAAAATAAAAACTGAGTATTATATTTTTTCCAAAAAAAATAAAAGCAAAAAATAAATGGAACTAATTGTATGTCTCTACCTTTCACTATTAAAGTTCACCACCCCATTTTTGGGATGGTAGTCATTAATGGGTTAAATAACCTTGCTCTTACTTTGGAAATTAATTTTCTTGATTAACCTTTGCTCTCTGAAATTATTCATCTGCAATAGATTAATAAAAAACCTCCTAAACAATAAAATGTTTTGACATCACTTTGTTGGTCTAAATTGTTTAGAATTATCAACTGCGACAGCTTCTTGTATTACTACTATTACTACTGCAACAACAATGTCTTTTGTGTACATGTGCAACAGTAATGAAGTGGATCCATTCTGATTGTTTGTCACGACCTGATACACAACTGTGTATATGTCCCAGGAATGCCAACATATTTAAGGAAACTTTAATCAAAATTAATATTAGAATGAATTTATGATTTTAAGCAAAGAAAGAGGAATGGGTCTGAATCACTTACATTGTTACCAAGTTGGTGACATTGATTATGACATGTATAAAAATGTTTATTTCTACTGCTGTACATTGGCCCTTATTCTAGTAATGAGTCAACTATTTATAACATCTAGTCATCATTTTATGTTTACTGCTATATGGTGGGGGGTCTTTATTAACAATATTTAGCTGTTTCATATTAATGAGAAAATAACCTCACTCAGGCAAGCATATCATAATCATTTCCAAAATATTCTATTTGACAGCATAAAAGATGTTGGCATATTAGAAGCATCCACATTTCAACAAGACACATACAGGGAAAGGTTTTAATGTATTTGAGCCTGCAATGTTTAAAGCAATGTATTGGTACATTATAAAATATTACAGAAACATTTTAGCTATAGTAGTGAACATTCTTTTTCTATGTGTCCAGTCCCTTCAGGACCTGGGCGATCATGGCCCTCCACAACTTCCTGTCCTCTGTAGCTCTTAGTGAAGTTTATATTTTTGCTATATCTCTGAATTCCTGTTCTGCCAACCATTTACAGACGCTTGCTAGGTAGGTTATGCACTCCTCTTCTCTGTCTCTCTTTCCTTCAATATGTCCTGTGATTGCCAAATTTTCCAAGCTCTCTTTCTTCATTATGTGCCCATGAAATTTCAGCTCTTTCTGATTCGAAGTGTCAACTCTATTATTACCCACGTTATATTTTCAGCATCCTTCTGTAGACCTATGATATTCTCAGCATCCTTGTGTAGAATCACATTTCCATTGCTTCAAGTCTATAATATATCTGCGATGAGATGATCCAGCATTCACTACCATATCAGAGTACTCATATAGCAGTTCAGTATTCTTTTCTTTGTTTTCAATGAAATTTACCTGTTTTTCACTATTTTGCTTACTTTTTGAAAGGCACATTTTGCTATGCCAATGAACCTTCAGATTTCGGTATCATAATTTCCATCATCTTATCTTCCCAGATATTGGGACGTCTGTACTTGTTTGACTTTTGATATCTCTAATTCATGGCTCAAATTTTGGGCTTTCATACCATTTTAATTCCAGCTTATAATGTTTTTATTAGATTTGTAATAATTTGTCAATTTAGAACATAACTGTAGATAAAAAGCAACATAGTTATTTATAAAGCAAGCAATCTCAATTGTGAAGATATCTTACATGATTGCTGTAATGAAACATTGCAAGAGAAAACAAAACTGGAAACACTTTATAAAAAGTAAACGACCATGATAATAGAGTAAGGAATGGTGGGAGGAAAGATTTAGTGTTCTGTCATGAAAAATTTAATCTGTAGTAGCAGTAGTAGTTATGATTTTTTTTTCTTTTGAATAAATTATATCATTATGAAATCTGGCTAGGTTGACATGTCCATCTGAAATAAAATTATAGCTTACAGGATGCCTTAAATTCATGTACATGATACGAGGCAATTCTCTTATTTTTTTTCTTCATCTTTAAGCCATTAATCTGCATCTTATATACTGTTGAATATGGTATTTTCTTTGGGAAAAGTATGAATCCACCTCTTCTCCTACATCTATTGGTTAATTAGTAGGACTGGTATCAGTAAATCATTATTATCTAAAAGAAACAATACTGTTGAATATGGTACATTCTTTGCAACCTCACACACTTATCTAGGATTATGGCTAAATCACATTGAAGCACCAGTTCTTGTACAATCACCAAAGTTAAGCACTGTTGATCCTGGTCAGTACCTAGATGGGTGACCACTTGGGAATACCAGGTGCTGTTAATTGCGTGGTTGGCAAAATGAGTAAGAGCTGGAAATCAGAGAGCCAAATTCCAATTCCATTAGGGTTTGTTATATTCACTTAGGTGCAAATACCCTTAGGGAAAGGTATGAATCCACCTCTCTCCCTCCATCTATGGGTTACTTAGGAAGACTAGTATCAGTAAATCATTATTATCGCCAAAAAATTCTTACACTGTAAAATATTTTCTGGCTTTAAATAACATGCAAAAATGGTTAATAAGCCATAAAAACAAACAAATCAATCACACACTTATCTGAGCATTCCTTTCCCTTTTCAAAAAGATTCCACTTTCAAGATCACCATTAGCTGTCTTGACATATTCTCCTTAATCTTGTGCACACTGATAGCTTTTATGCATGAAGGGGTGCTGAAAAATTCTCAGTACAGCCAAGAAGGAATTCCAAAATAAATTATTTGGTCAAATCTGGAAAAGCAGGTTAGGCTGATGACTTTTCAGCACCCCAATATTTAGTATATTCAAAAAAGTAAACGTACACTAAATAACCTTCATATTATGCTGTACAATTGGTGTACTTTTAAGTTGATCGCAGAAAATCTCTTAGCCAGGGTTGAAATAAGTTTTCTTTCTTTGAAATCAATACAAATTACTGAACAGTCTGTTAGAATTCTATTATTTTGTCAAATTGACAAGTGCTAAGAATACATGTAAGCCTACCATGATCTTTTTTTTTTTTTTTAATTTTTGTACAATGAAATGTTACTTAATTCTTTTTTAAGTGGGCTATTTACACATGACTTGAATATGATAATGATAAAATTAGTCGTTTCTATACAGGAAATATCCGGCATTCATTGACTGAACAGTTAGCCTTATTGTCGGTTGAAATTTATCAAATTTTTTTCTTAAAATGGTTTTTCAGGAAATTAGACTGCTAAAGTGCACTGTTGTCAGTCTTTCTAGCATTGAAGAAAGTTTCCTTCCAAGCATCTTGCTTTTGGTAGTGGAGAAAGTTACAGCTTGTTTTCTTTTTCTTTTATTCTTTCAAACTTAGATCTTAGTGACTTTATTACCATGCTTGAGGTTAAAAACAAAAAGTTATTTCTAAGAAAGAAATAGTATGACAATTTAAACAATGATTTTCGAATTAGAATTGAGAAATGAATTATACATTTTGGAACACTCTGTTTCTATAAGTATAATTATTTCATAAATGTTTTTATTCTCCCCTTCTTATCATTTCTCCAGAAGACCCCACCACCTTTGTCTATAATATCAATCTAAATGTTTCATATCCAGATATTCACTTTTAAATTTTAACAGAGATGATACATTCTGTGATATGTAGGGTATTTTCATCATCTCTGTCATGTCCATTCAGGATGTGGGTGGTCATGGCTCTCCACGACTTCCTGTCCTTTGTAGCTCTTAGCAGTATTTGTCTTCTTACAAACTACTCCACCCTGTTCTGCTATCCATTTACACAAATTCATTAGGTAGGTTACTCATTGTTTCCATCTATTACTCTTGCCTTCAATATGTCCTGTGAGTTTCAGATTTTCCAAGCTCATCATGTATCCTAGAAATTTTTACGCTTTCTGATTCTAAGTATGAGTATCGTTTTTGTTTCCATTTTCTTTAAAACTTCTTATTCTTGACTTCAACTGAAGACATTAACTAAAGAGAGGGAGGCAGCTTATATGTAGCTAACTTCCAGGAAAATTAGCTAGTCTTCTTATAAAGTACATTAATAAATACTGAATTTCCTACTGGTGACATTCAAACTCTTAGATAATTATAACAAGCTACAGTTACCAATCTTAAGTTTTAATCACTCAGATGATAAATATCTATTTCAACAGTAAAATGGTGAGACCTATCTGCCAATCTAATCATACACTTAAATTCATGCGGTTGAAGTAACAAGGAGTAAAGCTCATTGGAACAACTGCCATGAAAATATTTATAGAAAAGGCAGAGAGAAGCCACATCACAGTAGAGTGGAAAGTGACCAATTATATTACAGACACTTGTTTGGATTTTATTGAGTATCTCAAGATATATAGCCAGAGCACCAGACCAGATATGGCAGGTAATAGTCAATGTATGGATGAATAGTAGATTTATAAATGTGCAAGATAGATTCTGACAAGGAATTTCAAATTAGTCTAGAATAAAGCTGCAATAAATGGATTCAATTCAAAAATAGTTGTCTGCAGGCATAACTTCCTAGCCATTGATATATTGTTGGGATCCAAGTGCCTGACTGAAGTATGTCTGAAATGTTTTTTGAAAAAAAAAAAAAAACCCAAAAAAACTTCAGTTGATAAGAGTTGCTTCCCTTGGATGAACTCTTTTAAGGTATTTGAGGCACTCATAAAGACAATGGTACCAAAAACAGTATCATAATAACAAATGATTTAATGGAATTTATTTTTAATCCAATTACTCATAAATTTAAATATTATATTTTAGTGGATACACATATTTTAGAGAGAGAGTGTGTGTGTATATATATATATATATATATATATATATATATATATATATATAGGAGGAGGCACGGTGGAGTAATGGATAGTGGTTTGGATTGAGTCAAGTTTAAATTCCACTTGAATCCATTGCATTCACTTACATGCTAATACCCTTGGGAAAGGTATGGATCCTCTTCTTCTCCCTCTAGCTATGGGTAAATAGGATGAATGGCAACTGGTCTAGGAGAAGGACAACTCTGAATTCAAAACCTGTGGAGGGTCGTTTGGGGACCTTGTGGCACATAGTACACCAGGTCTCTCTATTCGGCCCTTCAAAAAGTGTGGATGATTCTGCACAAAACCTTCATCACTTTAATCAGACCTCATGTGCTGGTGTCTGGCTGTCAGTTCCTAGGAACTGAACTGCTTGACCCATATGTCAAATATGATGGGAGAATCATATATATATATATACGAGTTAGGATCAAATACACAATGATCAGATAAATCTAACATTTCCCTTTTATTAAAGTTTCATCAGAGAATGATATCTGAAAAGAAAGGATGTTCAATTTTGTGTTTGATTTTCATTGGTTTAGCAGATTTCATGTGCATTTGACCAGTCAAGTAGCATTCATGGATGTGGAAGTTTTTCAAAATTCTACTTTGTCTATGCGAGATTTGGATAACATGTATGTGGACAGTTGTGTGTGTCCCAGTAAACAAAAATGTCCCCAAATCAACATGTGGACAACCTCTAAACATAATGCCTTCTAGACAGGCACACACATGCATAGATATATACATTATCACCTGAATCCCACATAGACAAACAAGAATTATGATACACATACACTCACAAATTATACTTGACTATATATATATATATATATATATATATAAAACACTAAAAAGCAATTTCTAAAGTAATATACTAAAATTTCACACTAATACAAAATGGCAGAGCATTATACTTTATACAATAAAGTCAGGCATACATATGATTGGCCATGACTGCCAGTTAGTACACACTAATGTGATCAGTCATTAGCAATGATATTTTTGATATTGGCATTTATATCTCCTCAGCTGACCCAAGATGTTACAATAAGAGTGGCTGGTGGTTACAAATAATGCCTTCACCAACTAAAATCACTGGCAAAAATACCCATATGGCAAAAGATGGAATTACCAAACATCACATTTATTTGAGGAAAGAAAAGGAGAGCCTCTCCAAAACACTAGAATAAGAGATTCATCAGTGTGCAATAAACAATACTCAGGAAATTATTTATATAAAAACTGAAATAAAATTTTCCTGACTCAAGAAAACACTAGAATGCTCAGGAATTAACAACAGTATATATCTGGAAAACCAGAAGTCAAAATGGCTATGATTAAAAGAAAAGAGGACAAAGAGAAAAATGGTAAAAAAAAAATCAATAGGGAGTGAGTGTAAAGTAAAAAAAATGATAAAAAAAACAAATAAACACAACATTCTACACATACACACAGATGGGTGCAAGCACACACACACACACACACACACACACACAGAGACTATGAAAAAAAAAGAAAAATTGAAAAGTATAAGCAGTCGATACCCCGAGATGAGTGAACGGAGTGATTCCTGGAGGATTCGTCTCTGAAACTTTGGAGTTGAGATGCTGAAAGTAACATCACTCATCTAAATGACAAGCCTTTTACTTGCATTAATTCTACACACACACACACACACACACACACATATATATATATATATGTGCCAGCTCAATTGGTTTACCAGTCATGGTATTGTAGTAACAATAATAATAGTTAAAACTACTGTTATACCCATGATAATTGGAACACTGGGTATGATAAAAAAAAAGGAGACGGATAATGATGTTAACACAATCACTGACTGCCTGTTTGCAAAAAAAAAAAATAAAATTAAATTAAAGTGTGGAACTGCTCATCTACTCAGAATATTATCAATGTAAAGAAAACAGAATGTAGATATTTACTATCTTGCCTTACCCTAGTTCTTGGGTAATAACCTAATCAGGCATTGTACAGAACAGAAAGCAAAGGACCAGTAATAATAATAACAATTAAGCTTATCATTAGCAAATAATTATAGTATAATTTCTATAAACAGAATGTAACTTGCCAATGAGCAGAGGCTGCCAGAGATAGCATTTAAGTGTGTAATTATAAAGGCATTATGGAAATAAATAATTTATTAAAGTTGCTAAGTATACTAAATGTTTAAAAGATAATTGTATTCAAAATTTGAGGCAAAGCTTAAAGATACAGGAAGCTTTTTTCTCTCTAACCTTTTGTTTGAAGTAATATGGAATGCCTGCATCTTGATTATGTCGTTATTTTCGCTTTTACTTACATGTGCTATTCATTTTAGTTGTTGCTGCTGTTAGAATTTCTCATGAGCTATGGTTTCAATTATTTGGTACAGTTTTTTTATATTAAGAAAAATTGCTAAACTGCTTAACAAAATGGTCTTGTAATGCCATTAGGTATCATATTGTCTCTTGTGCCACTCT